AGTTAATTCCGGCCCTGCCGATCATGATTCCGATGTATTCCGACCCGGAATTTTGGGGATCCCCCTGTATGAGTTCTAAAGGTGTCCGTTATATCGATAGTACACCACTACGTACTATTCGTATTACTCACAATAACATATACATATTTTTATATCTTAATAATAAACTGCATATAATAGTAAAATCTAATTGCGAATATAACCGTTACCCTCTTATTTTATTAGGGTATAAACCCGGTTATTAGGTTTATTAAAGGTTATATCCTTTCGGGTAAAAAGGTTAACCGGATACAATCACTATACCAAATTAAGCAATACGCGTATGTACGCATGTACTACGTAAATTAAACATCACACGCATTAAGATCGATACGCGTTTACCGTTTAAACCAACCAAAAACGTTTAAACCACAAACTCAAATTTAAATTAGAGATAAATTGTAGTAATTAAAATTATTTTCAACGTATGGGAGCTCATTAATAGAAAAGGAAGTGATTTTTTTCTAAGTTTTTTAAATTTTAAATTAAAATATCTCAACAACCATTAAACTAAATTCAATGATTTTTTATTTTAATTTTATATAGTCATAAAAAATTAAAATAATTTTTTTTTTTTATTAAATTTGATACAGTAATTATTAAGATATTTTAATCTAAAATTTTAAAAAAAGTTATTAAAAACTTTTTGTTCCTTTATAAATTTTATTCAAATAATATTATTATAAATAAAAAAGTTGCTTATAAATATTAATAAAAAATGTAATTAAAAAATTTGACATAATTACAAATGTATTAAGAATTAAAAAGGTTTTAGCCAGTTCATGTAAAATTAATTTTATTGTAAAATGTATAACTGCCTCAAAGTAAAAAAGAATAATGCGAATGTTATCAGTAAAAGAACATATGGCATTTGATAAACGTAAGAAACCAATGAAAATGCGTGATGAACAGAAAAAATGAATCTAGATATAATATGTTAATGTAATGATAAAAATGCTTCTAATTTTTGCATAGTAAAAAAAAAGACATTATGCTATAACAAATTTATAAAGAGAGATTAATTGTTAAAACATATATTTATCAGTCGACATTTTTAAAGAAAAAAAAATCATATCCATTCAAGAGCAGAACTACATTCTCTTCCCCAACCGGATTCATTATCAAAAGTTATCGGAGGATCTTCATCATAATATATTGGAGGTGACATATCTTTTAGCAAATTGAGTTCACGCCACTTCCAAAACTTTCCTTCCAATTCTAAAATAGCAGCCGCGCGTTGTTTCTTATCTGGAATATCTTGTTCAATATCATGAAGTCGTAGATCAAATAATAATTCCGTATTATCCTTTATACATTTTTCGCAATATTCAGCTAAATATGGAGCAGTAATTTCTGCATTCTGACACCATTCCCATATTTCAACAATATTTTGAGGTAGAACCAAATGATCTTGAATTATTTGATATTGAACGGATAATGCAAGATCATTAAGCTCATATAATTGAGCATATTTCAACAATTCAATATAACGATTGAAATAAAAAGATATTTCATCTTCATCTGGACCTGGTTCATATCTAATGTCACTCATGATATCATTAAGGTCTTTTCCATACAAGTATTTAAGAAGAACACGAAACGCATCAGGATGTATATCATCGACTCGAGGAAGAAATACATGTTCGCCAAGTTTAGATTCCAAGGTACCAGCGCAAAAAGCTCTTTCAAAATGAGGACAAGTTGCAGCAAGTAAAAACCGGGAAGTACCTATTAATTCACCACGGATGTTGAAAAAAATATCATGGAATCGTTCCAATCCAGCAATTAAACGATTAGAATTTAGAGAATTTTGAGTAAAATCAAGATCCACATATCTACACAATTTGTTAACTATATTATCTCTTCGTAATGTTGTATGTGGAACATCGAAATTCATAGGAGTTGCCGGATTAAAATTATAAGCACCACATAATTGTAATAAATTACCATATGGAGCGAGATTTTTACTTGCAGCTTTCTTGTGACAATCTACATCAATATCTATATTTAAGACTAAATTTGTTGCCGAAGTCCAATTTTTCAAATTAAAAGGATCATTTCCATTAAGGAATATAGTAGAATTTTTTTGAAGACTTGTTTTTAAGTCACCAATAAACCATTGTTCACCAATTTCACCTATACGTTTCATTAACAGTAAATTATCTTCTAACCATTCATAAAGTCCATTAATAATAGTAAAAAGAAGTTCAGGAGCGCCATGACCTTTCCATTCATCAGATTGTTTATCAACAATATTTTCCTTAATAGCAATTAAATGATCCATTACGTCATGAAAGAATAATTCACCAAGATCACTATGAATATTCAATACACTTTCAGGAGGAATTATAAGATCATCATAAAAAGCACATTGAGTCCAACATAATTTGATGAGTTTAGGTAAACGAAGAGAATTGAAAGAACAAAGTTTAGAAGACTTGAAATTTGCAGTTTCAAGATAAGGATAATCGACAGGTTTTGAAGGGATAAAATTAATTGATTTGAGAACATCCCATCTATTACAAGTGAAATTAAGATCATCAACATTATAATAAAAGTGAAGGACTAACATTCTAGCACGATCGAATAAATCGGAAGGAGGAGAAGGAGAATTGTATAAATGTTGAATTTCCGAAGCCAATCTAATGAAAGTGTCATCATCAACTTTATCATGAAAGCCCAAACCTACTAGACCTTTAGATAACCAACCACAACGAAGTTCAGGTGCAATAAACACATCAGAACCAGCAAAAACCGTAGTGAATAAAAGAACTCTATCATCATAAAGTTCTCTAGCAAGCCTCAATTCAGTTTTTGTACTATTAGGAATGAAACGATATTCAGACAACCAGTTTGGATGTAATTGAGTAGGAAGACGTAAGAATTCCTTTAAAAATTCCAAATATTCAGGGTCATCAGGTCGAACAAAGTCAAGATTCTTGAAAATACAAAATAGATAATGAATATAACTGGATTCGACAACATCTAATCTTTTCAATAAAATTTTTTCATCAGGATTTTTATAATTAATATAATTAGTCTTTGAACTTGATAAATTAACTTGAAAATATGGAAGACCGTGTGGAACTAGGCAACCGCAATAAGCAGCGATGTAACTACCATCAGCGGAATAAGTAGGCCAAATGGGGAATTGGCGTAAGATATCTATAATATTTTCATCAATAAATCGGTCTAAATAAAATAAAAATAAAAATAAAATAAATAAAATAATAATTAATAAGTTGTTATTTAATAAATTAATTAATTAATTAATATTAATTAATTAAAATACCTTTCCGATACAACTCGCACATGTTTGCAACAATGTATTCCCGAAGCTTATCTTTTTCGTCGTCACAAATATGTTGAAACAAAGTATCCATGCTAATTTTATTGATAGAACGAGATTTATCGATAGCTTTAACGACCATTGAAGGGTTCCAATCCCAAATAAAAATTTTCATAATATCTATCCGATAATCTTCAGTGAAAAGAACACCAAGTTTTCTCAAGACATCTATTACATCATCTTTTCTCTTGGGAAATCTCAATATAGGATGATCATTCTTTACAGAAATGAGTTCATAAAGATGATAATTATTATAATTAGAAGTAATAATAGGAATAAGAGGATAATTTCCAAGTAATTTTTTTAAATCTTGAACAGCAAATTGAGAAATTCTTTCCCAAAAATTTTCAAGCCAACGTTTATTCAGAAAAGAGGTAGTTGTATCAGGATCCCAGTCACGAATTGGAGCATGAGGGAGTTCATGACGAAAAAGACAGTAAAAACCATTGATATCTAATTTTTTAATCTTGTTCACGGATTGAAATTCTGCTGATTCAAAAATAGATTTAACGTCATCGGGTAATTCTATGGTAATCAAGACAAAGCAGCCAACAGTTGGAAAGAATTGCAAATCCGAAGGGAGAGCCAAATAATATTGTTGGGTACCGAAAGCGGAATAAGAGATGCAGTTCACAGGCACAAGAGGTACACCAGTTAATTCTGTGAAAGCACAATCACGAAGGACAAATCTTAAAAGGAGGATGATGTAAGCATTTCTATCGGCCAAGGAACGACAAGTTGAAGGAAGATGCAATTCTTTATTTCGGATAATGTCACGCACAACTTTCGGGGTAACGATGGAGAATTTTGAAGACTCTGTTGAAGAAGATTTTTGGACATTATATCCATAGAGATTAAGGAAGTCAGCAATCCAATGGTCATCTGGATTTTTTACTACCAAGGAGAAGTCATTTTGGATCACCGAGGAATGTTGCATGGATAGTTCAACACAATTTTGTAACGACATCTGATAAGTTTAAGGAATGTTCTAAAGAATTTTAGAGACAGAAAAATTCATGAATTAAATCAATTAGCATAAAAAAGAAAAAAAAGAAAAGGGAAAGAAAAGACAGGATTTTATACTCTGTAATCCAGTTAGAAAATAATGAAAGTGTAACATAGACAGTCAATACGAAACAAATTATTGGTTATTTGTCATTAAAATTCAGAATTTATATAGCATGATATCATTTCGATCCATTCTGTCATTTAAAACAACGACTTATCACTCATAATCATACTTGATAATTGCTAATTGTTCTTAACACTTTAATGATACTATCCATAAACCTTAAATTATCGTAATAACAATTTTAGTCTTTCGGCTTTTAAAATTTTATCTGTAATATACCAAAGTAGATTGGTTATAATTTGTCATCAAAATTCATCATTTTCTTAATAATTCATATTAGATACCTGTCATCTTAAGCAATATCGTGACTAGTTGTTGAATAAAAATTTCAATTCTTAAACGCATGTATTTAAAAGTAAAGTTTAATTTCTATCACTATATTGTATCACGTACTACCTATACGTCAAACTTATCAATAATGTGTGGTACGTACCTTATATTTTGTTTGCTCCTTAATTCAGTAATTCATTAATTGATCGTTATTATGTACTGCAATGATGTTATTATACTTACCAAGCAAAAAAGAAGGACCGACCAAATATGCCGATTTTTTAATATGGTTTACAGTACTTTTTTTAATGACCTCTGGTATCTTAACTTCTAAAAACTTAAATAAAATATTATAGATAAATTGATTTTTTACTTTGTCCTACAACTTTTTTTTGTAATCTGAGTATCTAATTGGCTAATTCGCAAATAACAACCAATCAGATTACTCAAATTACAAAATAAAAAAAATTGTGGAATTCACAAAGATTCACTTAATATTTTTGTAAAGCAATGTAAAAAATTAATTTATTTATAATATTTTATTCATGTTTTTAAAAAGTTAAGCTATTTGAAATTATTAAAGAAGTATTGTAAATTATATAAAAAAATTATTAATTAATTATGTAACAATATAAAAACTATTTTTATATTTGTTAATTTCTTTCGAATGTCTATGAACAATGTTTATAAACAATGTTTAATATTCAAGCAAAACATTGGTTGATTATCTAATTAGCTAAAATTTGTATTATTATTACATATTATTATTACATATTATTATTTTTTTAATTTTATATAGTAATAATATTAAGCTTTTTTTTGTTTTAAATTAAAATACTTTTATTTTTAAAATATTCGAATTTAAATTTTTTACTTTATAATAAAATAAGTTTTTTTTTCTTTAAGCAGTTATTGCTAGTACTTTATTAAGATTTTTGAAATTACTTTTGCAATTATATAAATATATCTAACAACTAAGTTTAGCATTACCCAATTATCTTATTGGCATTTAAGTGCAATCTGTTACATTATTTCAAACAGAAGTAAGCTGTTTGTCTAACTACTTATAGTCCATAATGAAAGGGTCTTTTTTTTTCTATGACAAGCTTTCAAATTGTCTTCTTAATTGTATTTTCAATTTGTTTTTCTTTTTTTCTTATTTTCTTTTTTTTTCTATTTTTTACTAACTAGTTTTTTTCTTTTTGCTTGAATTTATTATCTTTTTTAGTATTCTTTTTTTTATTTTTCCTATTATTTTTTTTTCTATATATTACTTTTTTTGCAATATACTCTTCAAACTTGCTTATAAAAGGTGTTTTAGGCTGTTTCTATTATTATATTTATAGAATATTATCTTATTCTTGTATTCAAAAGTTGTATTAATTTATCTTAAGTTGTTTTTTAAAATTAGGTTTTTGATTAATGCTTTTTTATTTTTATTTCTTTTATCATTAGTTTTTTAAAAAGTATTATATATAATATATAAAATAGAACTTAAATTTTTTTTTTAATTTTTTTTCATGCTGTTATAATAAATACTTTTTGTATTCTTTTTCAAAGACTTGTTTGTTCCTTATATAATGCTAGATATTCATATATTTTTTTAACTTTATTTTGGTAAACTTGATATTTTGTAGTTATATATATCTGGTCTTTTTTTATTAAATTCTTTTAAAATTAAAAGTTTGTTCAATATATATTTTATAAAAAATTTTTTCTTATACAATTTCTTTTTTTTTTTTTTTAAAAAATATTAAGGTGAGTACTTGCGACCCAGGATTTTATTGATAGTATATTTGGCTAATGGTTGCATTACAACCACAG